CTTTTTTCGAACCTCCCTCCCCCTTCCTCCGAGATTCCTCCCGCTTTTTCCGAACCTCCCTCCCCCTCGATGACGAATCTGCCTCGCCCATGTTCCAAACCTCCCTCCGAACCTTCTTCCGAACCTTGCTCCGCCTTCTCCCCGTCCTTCCTCCCCTTTCTTCCGAACCTCCCCCACGCTTCTTCTGAATCTATCTTCTCCATGTCCCGAATAATCCGAATAACCGAATATAAAGAAGTTTACAACGTGCTCAAAACTTTCCAAATGAATGAAAACAAACGATTCAGAAAGTGAAGGAATGAACGTAAAATCAACCAAGTTTCTGAAAGCGAATGAATGAACGTATCCGAAGTTCCGAAGAAATCAAAGTCCCAAAGCTGAGCAACAACATACTATTACCCGAAAGTTTGCGAATGAATGAAAAGTTTTGAAAACGAACCAAGATTCTCTGCTCATACAACCAAGATGAAATGAGAACACTGGAAAGTAAAACAACAAAGCAAGTTAATGAAAGGGGGAGGTTCGAGAAAGGGGGGAGGGAGCTTCGGGAAACTAGGAGGAGGGAAGTTCGGAACAGGGGAGGGAATCCGATCGAAGTTCATGAACATCGGTCGGAATCCCTCCCCTGTTTCGAACCTCCCTCCCCCATCTTTCGAACCTCCCTCCCTGTTTCGAACCTGCCTCCCCCTTCTTCCGAACCTCCCTCCCCTTCTTTCAAACCTCCCTCCCGTTGTTCCGAACCTCCCTCCCCTTCTTTCAAACCCCAAGCCTTCTTCCCGTTCTGAACCTTCGTCCCCTTGTTCCCAACCTCCGCCCTCTTGTTGATCCGAATCTCCCCCCTCTCGTTGTCCCGAACCTCCCCTCCTCTCGTTGTTTCTGAATCTCCCCTCGTTACGAACTTTGTACACCTGGAAAGCAGGGAGCGAAACACCGCATGGAGCCGTCACGTCAAAAGGAACGAAGAGAGAGAGAGAGAGAGAGAGAGAGAGAGAGAGAGAGAGAGAGATGGCAATGCATCTTTCCATTTTCAAGCGGATGATTCAGTCTCATTTCGTACATTT